CAGACAAATGTCTTTGTCTGTATTAAGATTTTTTCACTTTGTACAGATCTAAATAATATTGGATATTATTAATATTAGATATACGTTGCAGTTATATACGCTTATATTTTTTCTTTTTTTTATAAATCTTTGATAAATTAATATCAAATTTGTTTTTTGAAACAAGTTAATGCAGCTTTGTTATAATAACTTGTTATGCAAATTTTTTAATTACAAGTTACACTAACTTTAGTTACGCATTTATGCTTTACGCAATGACCATAAATACATGGCAACAGTCAATTTATTGATTGCCTCTCGACCACAGAATTCATGATCAATATTGAATTCATGATCAATATTGAAATCGTATCTGATTTGTAGCATCGGCTGATATCTACACGTTTGATTCTCGATTATCATCAGCACCAATTTTATTTTAAATAGATTCCCAATCGGCGACTATATTGGCCGATTTCGAAGCCATAGTATAACAGTTTCATAATGCGTAATCGCTGCGACTTATGTGCTTTTAATTCCCGACACGTACGTTGTAATTGCATTACGTACGTAGCCGCAGCTTTTTTCAGACTACATCCATATGTTACTTCGCGATATCTCGGGCAGCTTGTTTATAAAGCGTTACCATATACGCGGAAATGCGAAACAACACAGCCGCTATCAGGCGAGATCGAGCTATTTTCGTAATTAAAGCGGCAAAGGCGATCATACATTGTGCGGGCAAACATGATCAAGCTTTACATTTCTCTGATAACCACCGGCCGATAAGAGCGATGTCACAGAGTTTGTTTTAATGAAAATTAAATGGTGAAATGTAAAACACTCGGGAGGAAGAGATCGTGAAACTATTATGCTTGGTACATAAATTCTACATTTATCTCCGGCTTATGAATGAAGTGCTACGTAAAGTGTATATATAATAGCGATTACATTAAAATTATATGTTTCTTTGCAGTATTAGAATCTTTTTCTATAACTTTGTCACAAACATAAAATTGAATAATATATGATCAATTTTTTTATACCGTTCCTTTATATGAAATGGACTTTAAAAGTAGTGATTGAAAATTTCTGTTTAGGGAAACCTCTGCTTTATATTGTGGTATCTTAATCATTGATTTTCGAGGTATTATACTCCTCTTCTTTCTTCCTTTTTTGTTTTCTTTCTTTTCCTTTTAAAAACTTATCGTCATCGTTGTTACTTATTAGTTTTATGTTTTTCTTTTTTTTTGATATCTCCATTTTCTTTTTAGATAAGAACCTTTGATCTTTAAGCTATAAAATTTCTTTACCATTGTCAATTCAAATCTTAATGATAATAACAATAAGAATAGCAGAAGGTGATTTTTTTCGTCCATTTTTCGCGATAATGTTTTTGTTTCTGAATAGCATATGTTGATTATTTAAAAATTGTACTTGCGCTCTCAAGAAGCAATCATGCACGGAGAGAAATCATAAAGGACTCATAACCATACGAATATAGTTAAAGGTTAATTCATAATACAACTATATTTTTTGCATATAACAGCGATCTCAATAAATACATTAATCAGTCGATATGTGAAATGCAACTATACGATTATTTCTAAATAGATATGGTCAGATGAAGCACATTATAAATTGCACGAATATGATGGTATAGCTATATTAAGTCCTCGAAATAATTGCTGATTTTATAAATTAAAATATGTTCATGCCAGCTAAAGTATCTTTCTAAGGCATAAATAAAATATTATGTATGTATAAGACATATATATATATATATGCCTACTGCAGCTTTACGTGTTTCGAGTACACAAGTATGATCAGTTTAGCCATACATATACTTCGAATAGAACGCGTCCAATTTAAACAAATGACTCATACCTAAATCTCTAAATCTGAATTAGTGGATAATCACTGACATCAGTGCCAAGATATGTTGGTAATCAGTGAATGAAATGTGAGATCCTTAACCTAGCTAATTTTTATTATCCGATCTACCTTGTTTTAGTGTATGAATTCAATGAATATGGTATTGGAATATTTATTGAATTTATGCATTAAAACAAGGTTAGTTAGATCACATAATAAAGATTATATGGTATAATAAAGATTATATCTGGAAACACAGTAGTGTCTCGGCGCTAAGCCAAGCGACACTGTCCAACATGTTGATTTCCTTACTACTTAAGTCTTACTATATAAGTTTTTCGTGTACTAGGTCCCTTATACTGTGATCCGGCAGCGCCAAGTGTTTACTTCTTTAATTTTTTGTGGTAACATTTGAATGGAAATAATATAAGGTAACTCAATTTTGTCATAACGTTTTGAATAATGTTTTGAAGGAGAATTCGCAAATTCGATTTCTAATTAAATTCTTATACATTTAATGTGAATTTAAAATGTAAATTTAGAAGATAAATCTTACGAAAAAATATCATTATATTTATACACATTTAATGTAATGTAAATCTAGTATTTTTTCTTTTTATGCAACTAACACACGCGTTAACTCTTACTCTTTCTCTTTCAAATCATATAAAATTATTTAATTTGAACGAGATAACGAAGAAGTGGCTTTCTTATGTATATGATAATAATATCACATAATAACAATATATTATATGGTATAATTATTCTAACCATATTGTCTTGTAGGTATTGATTATATAGTGTGGTTATTCCAACCATATTTTCTGAGGGATGTACTATATAGTATATATAGTGGGATTATACTGTACATGTCCAACTAGTAATACGTACAATTATGCTATTGTGACAATTTATATAAATTAGAAAAATTTGGGAATCTCAATCCAAACTGATGGATAGGCTATCATTAAGAAAGTTAGGTTATCCTTTATATAATTGTATAATTGCAATATTAATACGGTATGGTAGTGGCTATATTAAGCATATACAATAATATAACTGAATTAACCATATTTATGGCTAATATTTCTAATCTTTTCTCTCTGTGTGGTTATATAATTTTATAAGTACGTGATTGCAAAAAGATATTGTTTGTTATCGTAAATTTTATTACTTTAAAGTCGAAACTGACGAAATAGCCCCGCTCTACCTCATATAGTATTTTGAAATTAAATTATTATCTATTGTTATCATATTTATTTATTTAATACATAAAATTTATGTATATACCTGCAAATTATATACGCATATTAAATAAAAAAATATACAAATTTTATTATTAATTTATTGTTGTTATTGTTTTTGTGTATATTGTGTTGTTTTTATATTATGTGTTTATTATAATCTGCTTAAACTTTCGTAAATTACAATTTTTGTACCTCGCTTGTATATGCTTTATTGTTTGTAAAATATTTCATATTTAATAAATATTTATTTAACGATTGCAAAAGATATTTTATGGCATTGGCATGTTGATCGAGAGATTTTATGTGCTCAATAGATTATTAAAAAATTACTATCAAATATAAATTTGAATCTACGTTTTCTATTAGCAACACGCAATCAACTAACAATGAGAAAACTTCGAGTGAAGTTGATCGAGACAGCAAATGCGATGGACATTGCGCTTGTATTTATAGTAATCGATGTACGGTGAAAAGAAATGTTTACAACCGATCGTAAAAGTCAAATGATTTACAATTAGAGTTGTAAGTAAATGAAAAATAATTCTACGATGACTCTTCCGTATATGACGCAAGTAAACAGCATCTCATCATAAAATCGTCCGGTAATTACAATACCTGAGGCACGCACAACTTAGAACAACTTCATTAGAAATAATCCTTTCCTTAATGCGTGCTCGATGTATGTATAATGTCGATAATTTTTTTACTGAAATGTCATTCATGTTTGAAATAAATGTTAAAACCTAAACTTTAATTAATGTTTAATACGAAAATATTGGAAGATTTATAACACAAAAAATTTTAGAAATTTTCAAAACATCTTGTTATAAACATCTTATTATAAATAATTTCTTATTATAAATAATTGCGTAAAAATCAAATTATGCAAGAAAAATACATAAGCAATTATGAGTAAAAAATTTCTTAATATTCAGTAAATTGCAATGAATATACGACAAATATACAACAAAATGTCACACTAACACGAGTATTCCATTAGTCTTCAACGAAAAACAATTCCGACAAAATTTTTTTAAATTGTTTATATAGTTAATTACAAACCTATAAGCCTTTCATATAGTTGTACCGTTACCGGCTATATATCATCAAGAAGGACGCATAACATGTGTGCATCCAACCGAACATTAAGTGTCGTGATATTTGTAAAAGTTTTGAAAAATCAAGAGTTTCACGGGACATTTCAGTCAGGCGAACACCAACACGAATAAAATAGTCGTAAACCGAATGATGTTCAGAAGATTCCGTTACAAAGCATTTTTGCGAATAGACCGGTTGATATGGTATACCTATTTGTAAATATAATCAAAGAAATTGATACTGCATATGTTATTCTTTAATTATTCTTTTGTAATCGTTTCATAGCGGTGTTATAAAGTGATTTAATTGCATTTGATAAAGACTGAAATATAATATATAATTGAAATTTGATATCAAACATTAGAGTGCACAAATTTTTCCTTCGATTGTCATCCTTTTTTAATTGTAGGTTTTTAAATAACATTTTATTAATAATTTAAACATACAAATGAAAGAGAATCCAAATAATTTTGTCTTTTATTGCCAATTTTATTATTAATTTCGCAGCATTATTTTTATATTTTTTCCTTTCTTCATTTATGTAAAAATAAATAAATCAGGTTATTTTATATGTCGAACTCTTTACTTATTTTGTTACCAATATTTAATAATATAAAGAGCAATAATTCCTACTCAATATATCAATGAAATAATCGTTTTTATCATCCAAATTAACGTTCAAATACAAATTTACAAATTTATAATTCAGTTGTTCAAGAATCATTAACGTATTTCTCGTGTCATTTGTTGAAATCAAATCTGAATCACTTAATTTGTATTAATTGTGTATCTATATTACAGGAAAGAAAAGTGTGTAACCTGAAAACTGAAGAAATAAACAAAAAAAAAGAAAAATAAAAAAGTGAATAAAAACCGGAAGAGGAATGGTAAACAAAAACATCAGAATAAGACAAAGTGTCTTTGTTATTAATAATAGGAATAAAAGTACGAAGGAGAACCTTTGTAGGCTCATTTCCCGGCACTGGATGTCGGACTGACGCGTCGACCGCGACGCAGAAGGGCAGAAGGTGCAAGCATTTCGGTATGCGCGAAAAAGTGATATATACTAACATCTCCGAGGAACAATTAAACATTAAGAAGGAGCGAGAGAAAAAGAGGAGGTTTATTTCTATCATAAGGTAAATATTCTAAAAATATACTAGCATATATGAAAGAATATAAAATGATAGTCATTATTGAACAATAAAATAGAAAGATAGAAAGTGCACAAAAAGAAAAAATTGGATGTTCTAAGAGATATATTATTAATACAGTGGAATCTCGATAACTCGAACCTCTATAGCTCGAAAACTTCTGTTAGACGAAAATTTTGTTCATTCCCTTCCGCTCCGCAGCGGAAAACCTTTATAAATCAAAATAAAACTTATTTTAACTCGAATTATTTATCAGATATTTAGATCTCGAATTTGTAATACTTAACAACATAATACAATACTTGACAACGATTGTAATTATTAATCTGACCTATCCTCAAAACATTTATTGTATGTATGAAATAATTCATTGTCAACACACACACACACACACACACACACACACACACACACACACACACACACACACACACAAATTGAATTTTTTTTAAATCATTTAATCGCAAACTCTCGTACAAAGCCTCATAAATCGAATTTTCATATGCTAACCCTCTTTTACTCAAAAAATTCGATAAGTCGAAACCTCTATAACTCGAAGATTTTAGCTCTTCCCTTGAGATTCGAGTTATCGAGATTCGACTGTATATGTAAGTAGGTATACGAGTATTATGACTACACTGAGAAAAATGGTCTGGTTGGTAGAATTCTAGTATATATATATATATATATATATATATATATATAGGTTTTACCAGAAATATTGTATCAATCTGTTTACCAGAATTTCTGTTATTTCAACTAGAATTCTAATAAATTTAACCAGAAAATTCTGATTCGTCCGTTCTCAACCAGACATTTTTTTCATTGTACTATGTGATAAATAAATTAATATTTGGACATGACTTTCTATAGAGATAGGCCCTTACTATAGAAATAGTCTTTCATTATCTGGTTAATTTGTGATTAGGTTTAACCTGATGTTTTATCCCCAATGGGCTTCATCTATGATTTCATGAATGAAGCCCTTTGGGTGAAACATCAGGTTAAGCTTAATCACAAGTTAACCAGATAATGAAAAACAAAAACCGGACCTATCTCTATCATTTTTTTTTCTTTCAGATTACAAGTTATCAAATAAATAAAACATCTTATATTCTTTGTTAACAGCTTACAGACCAGAAGTCGGGATGGTTTAATGCAAATAGTTCCTCGAGAAATATCTGATTATCAATATTACATGAGCAAAGTAGTCGAATAATCAAAATAAAAAAAAGTAGCCAAATACTTCAATTTCGGGGAACTATTCAGCAGATCTGGTTTGCACTAATTCTAATGCAATCTTCGATACTACACTTTCATACTACTGTATCTGATACTAATTAAGTATAGTATCTGATACTGTCAAATTAAAGAAGCATTCAAAAAGTTCAACGCCAGACATTTCTAAGGTATTTATCTCAATTACTTATATAGTATTGATTTAAAGAAAAATAAAATTTTTGTTATTTTAAAATCAATAATTAATTTTAATATTTATACTGTCGAAAAGCAAGTACATGTATTTCTGTATACGACATATGGTGTGTATACGACATAATCGCAACACCTTAAGTGTGCATTCGAGTTCAAAATATTAATTTTGGAAATTTTAAATTTTAATACAAAGAAATAAGAGTGATCTAATTATTTAACGTTCTCTGACGTAAATGTCAATTAGATTTTTATATTAGTTATTCCCTAAATAAATCTTTTGAAATAAAAGATTTCTGAATTTAGAACATTGTATTATATTGGTTGAAAATTATATAAAATATGAAACGGATTAAATTTTAAATTAAATTATTGTATTAAAAGTGCATTTTTACGTTGCATCGGCTTATAGCCTTTTATATTCAATTATTGATTTTGTAATCTTCAAGCATAATCAATTATGCTTATTAACTCTACAATGCTATTGCTATTGAATGATACAGTATTGCTATCGATAAATAAATTTTATGTTCAATAGGCTACTCTTAATTAATGTATCATGTAATATATTTCGCACTTTTAATATTTATAATCTATAAAATATTGATAATCTAGACTTTTATGAACACCTAATTATTAACTTAAAATGAAAAAAAGAATAAGTATACTATCGTATTCAATTTTAAAATAATATAGAGTATGTAGTCCAAGTTGTGTATACCATATTATGCATATCTTCTCATAACTTAAATAAAAGATATGATAATACAAATCTGCTTAATTAAAATCACTTATCACGCTTTCTGTTATAAAACTGACCACTAGAGACTCAGTACTATAACAAACTGATATTATAACGGAAAGAATTTTTAAAAGCTTGTCTCTGCTTGTCCTATCATTTAATATGGCAGATTGGAATCCTCGTAATGATCACTAAAGGCATAACTTAGCATTCAATGACCTCGCTTACATATTGATAGCATTCTAGATTTAATTTATTTTTGTATAGTATCTCTAAACATATTTTATTTCACAAAAATAGATAATATGGCTCAATAAACCAAATATAAAGAAAGTATTTTAGAAGGGCTACGAGCCAATAAACAATTTTCATCCTCAGTGTTAAGTATTTTAAATTCTATAACCGCAAATCATAATTAAACTCTATAAACTGCTAATCATATTCTTTCTTCGGATTGTTCAAACCTTCTTATAACAAAAGATTGGTTTCCGAGATGATCCATATAAAAAGACAAAAAATAAATTTACATAGATAAAATGACACAGAATCTTTATCAGATTCTTTTATCAAAATATTCTACAGTCTCTCCCAGGTAGCAACACAAGTCATTTTGACGTCAAAAGACGTTATTTTGACGTCAGCTTGCTATCAGGGCTTTCTCTTTCATAGTTTCTCTTTGTTTGTTCTTGATGCCTATCTCCATTCTCCCTCTTATATCTATTCCCCTTTTCCAGTTTTAATCTCATCAGAACAAGATACGTATTACATCTCTTATTTGTCATATAATTTTGGAAGTTCACTAGTGACACACATATAATCAACGTTCTCTTAATTTTTGAATAATAAATCGCATATTGCTTCATTAATTATGTTTATTGTAAGGAATCGTGTTGCGTTTTAACTACTGGACTATTGTATTTGAGGTAGATATGCACATTCTGTATCTATTATAATTATTTATCAACATATTTGATTACTTGATATAGCATAAGAATAATGGGTGAATACAATTATCAATTATTCACCAGTTAATCACTAATTGTTATATTAATTGTTAGATTAACGAAGTGTATAATCTGCCTACATTGCGTACTTTTCAAATCAAACAACAAGAATACATTGCACATTAGGACTAATTGAAAAATCTAAAGGAAGAATATGTTACACAAAAATGCAAAATATGTATATAACGAACTGGTTTGCGTATTTATGACTAATTAAACAATCCGAAGAAAGAATATGATTAGCCGTTTATAGAGTTTAATTATGATTTGCGATTATAGAATTTAAAATACTTAACACTGAGGATGACTCGATAAAGAGGTCGAAACGTTTGTTATAATAAACATATATTTGTATTGAAAATTGTTTATTGGCTCGTAGCCCTTCTAAAATACTTTCTTTACATTTTATTTCTTTTTACATGAAATTGTTAATTTTTTATTTATGTGATATAAATTTATATAGATTCGTATTGTTGTGTGAATTATTTAATATTTTATTGATGGAATTTTATGATATAATGAAGATATGATCTTTTTATCAACTTTATGATGTATTTTTTTGATTGAATAAATCATATGTAAGTCGTAATAAATGTTCTTGTATATTAAATTAACGTTTTTAATTGTCACGAACTTTACGATTGAACGATCATGATAATATCGAATAGGTTGCTATTTTTATTGGAATTTTCGTGGCTTTTATGATTTCGGCATAAACAATGTGAAGGGGTTGCTAATGAAAGGTTTACGAAATAAATGTAAAAATATTTTACGTCGGACGATTGCGCACGCTAAGGTCGATTGAACAATTCCATTAGCGGCGAGTTTTACATTGGCAAGATAATACCTAATTTGTTCATTACGAATGGCGTATTAAAATTTAAATTTTAATAGTCTCCAACGAGTCCGATATTAAAAATGTATCACATAATGCGTTCGTTACGAATTACATATTTAAATTTTCATGGACAGTTGGCCAGTCAGTAACCATTAAAAATGTAATCTTTGATTCCAGGGAACTGCATAAAAATTTCATCAATCTATATACATACATGAATTGCCAATAACATCATTCGCGTAATACGTAAATTATAATAAATCAATCTACTTAATTGTTATCTTGAATATATTTTTCATATTAACGTATTTCTAAAGAAAAAACGATTATTACTCGAGATGTTTATTATATTTAAGCAGAAAAAACCTAATACAATTCAATTACATAAAAAATGGCAAATATTAAAAAAAATTATGTAAAAATTGTTTAAAAAAACATTACAGAAAGTAAATAAATAGATTTTATCCATCCACCTTTAAAATTTTAATAATATTTATCATGCGCGCATAATATATTATGAGAATGGAACAAAAAGCTTTTAATGCTTAAAAAATTTTAATGAACAATTAAATTAAATATTAATATTAATTTAAGAATGTAAGATGTTTCAGTTTTAAAAGGAAATATATGTTTCAAATAATTCAAGTAGGGTAAGTGGTCCAACAATGAACCATGTAAATTTCAGAAGCTTATATCTCTCTCAATTATTGAGTTGAAGATCTGAGTTTTGGGGGGCATACAGTTTATGTTTTTTAGAATTTAGTTGGCTGCATACTGTAAATAATAACTCTTAAGTTATTTTTTAAGTTTAGTCACAATTTTGATTATTTCAAAAAACGGGAAGTGGTTCATTGTGTACAAGGGGTGTGTACACAATGAACCATAGATACTATTTTTAATAATGAACCGCATGTTTTATACTGCGAATTGTTGGAATTATTTTAGTTTTGCTATATTTTAACATGTTTATTCAGAAAATAGATAATCATAAGATGATAAGGATTCACAAAGCTGACCACCGCGTTTTTCTGCCAGATTCTTTCGTTTTGAAAACGCGTCGAATGAGTGCATTTTTATTAAGATTTTAGATGGGAGGGAGGGGCCGTATTTTAATAATTACTACAATGAATTATTATTTTGAAGGTTATCGTAAAAAAGGTTATGTGCCATGGTTCACTACATCAAAATGATTCATTGTAGACCACCTAACCTTTTTCACGATAATCTCCAAAATAATGCGGTAAAATAATACAACAGAAAAAAGTTGCTTACAGAATAATAAAGCCAAATGTGCACACAAAACTATTGCACAATGAAAAAAATGATAGGTATAGCAACAAAAACATAAAAAATGCGTAACACTTATGGAAATAACTTATTTTGCCAAAATTCTTAAAATGTGATATTACATGGATATTCCTTGGCACAATTTGCTAACTGACTGAAGAGCCGAGGAGAAGTTCAAATGCAAGTCACTGCATGATAACAGCGTAATCTGGTAACGTCGCATTTATGAAATATCGCAATGATTCATAATGTACTGGTTTACTATTGGACTACCTACTCTAGTCAATTATCGATTCGTAATTTGACATCAAGGCGTACTTTCAACTCATGCATTAACATTAGGTTGTGTTCCGATATAATAGGCTATAGTACACAAAATGTAAGCAGCAAGCAAATTAACATTTTGAAGTTGCTACTATTTACTTTATTGTCTTAGGGTGTGGTCAAAACCTCATTAAAGCATTTGATTTACCAATCAAAAGAAAAAATTTTATAAATTGACCAATCAAAGAATGCCTTAAAACAATTATATTATTATTGACTATACCCAGTCTTTATTGTGATTGGCCGATTACTGCTTATGCTAGACAGTCTTTTCCATTGGAAAAACTAGTGCAACACTGTTGCAATTGAGTGTAAATCGATTTACATATTTTCATTGTTAATAAATAATTTAATTTTTTTAAGGTTATGAGATTATCGTGACAACAAAGAAAATGTAATTAAAAGGGTTAAATTATGTATTAGCATTGAAAGTATGTGAATTGATTTGCATTCAATTGCACTTAATGCGCTCCAGTATTGCACTAGTTTTTTTCAGTGGATAACGATATTAATCCCTTACATTTTTTTTTATGCTACGGCTCATATGCTGCCAGTACTGACAATCTACGTAAAGGTGACTTTATAGAGTCAATAGTACTGATCAGTACCTAATATTGAATCAGTAATACTGACAGTACGCATCAATATTTATAGTATTTTTACAACCTTATACGATCAGTATTATTAATAATATATTTCACTTTTGTTTTACGTACATTATCTATTACACTGTGACATACTGTTATATGGATCCTAATAAAGCGATATTAATGTTCGAAAATTAAAATCCAGATCACCGTCAGTATTTTATGTACCTAAATCCATCAATATTAACCACACACGGTCAGTAATATTGTCAGTATTTGTTAATACTGACCAAAGAGAATGCACTGCGCGATCCGTATCAAAGCAGTGTATCGAATGTGGTCGACAATAATGAGAGAGAGGGATCGTGTGGAAGACGGCCAATCTCCCTCTCATTCTTTCTCTCATTATACCGTTGAATGGAAAGAGATACAGATTGGCCGTTTTTTGCGGTCCCTCTCTCTTACTTTTATCGACCATTTTGACCACGGATCGCGCAGTCTATTCTTTATGTCTTTGGGTCACCTTAATGTATGTAACGTCAGGCCACTAGCACAGAAGGCATCTTTGTGCAAAGAAGATTTTGCATCCCTTCTTAATATTTTTATTTATCCTCACTTTTTTAAATAAGATATACATTTTTTAAATAATTTTTTAAAGTTTTTTTTAGACAAGGCGTAATGCGATCTTATTGCGTTTTTTTCCTAAAACAGAAATGTAAAAAGTGAAAATTTCTACACTGAAATTGATATAGAAATTTTTCACTTTTTACATTTCCGCTCTAGAGAAATAATCGATAGCCTGACGCTTTAATTTTAATCTTTCTTTTGCAATTTGATTGTGAGTCTTTTTTGATACAAGTAATTTCATTCTTAAATTTCTCCAAAATAAAGGAAGGCAGAGCCTCTCCGGTTTCCCCTCTTAAAATATCTTCTTATTAGGAGGAATCTTGTTGAAGAAAAAAATGTTGAAAAATAATTCTGAAATTTTTTATTTTTTTGAAACCCTATAATGATAAAAAAATTGAGCTTGACAAAAAACCTGGATTGTAGACGGAAAGAATAAAACATGGAAGATTAAAACTTAATTTGACGACTTTCCTTATTAATGCATTTATGCAGTGCACAACTTGCACACCTGCTTGCGGCGGCTCTGCAAAACATGAACTATCAATTTTTAATTTTTAGTATTGTATTTATATGATATTCATAGTCGGTTCTTATTTTTTGTCTTAAGATGCTGTGATTGGCTCATGACATCTTGAGACTGCATTTAAAATGGTCTTAAATATAAAATCCAACTATGAATACCGGCCTATATCGGAACACGACCATAGATCAATGACTACGTTTACACCATGCGCTTAGTTCGAGACTTATACGATAGGTGTCTTTGTTTAATATATAGGATAAACAAGGACATCTATTGTATAGGCCGCGGTCTAAATGCGCGGTGTAAACGTAGCTAATAATAAAAAACAGAAGAATACCGATCGTTCTATTTATTTATTTTGTATTGTGCGGAAACATATAGTCGCTATTTGTTTTCTTGTAGCTAACAGCGGATTACTACACTGTAAGAAACAATAGAGGACGACAACCGCGACCATCAAAATAAGCAATAGCGTCCTCGCGCCAAGTATATGTAGCAGTACTATTATTTCGTGATCTCAGTCCGACGTTTTACCACGCGCTTCCAGGTGCCACTCCTATCATGAGCCAAGTACTATGAGATTCTTCAACGTGGTGTACGCGAAGTTTCCCCTATACCTACTTTTATTTGGGATTGGGCGCTTAGCTTTCATTTCTTGGCTTTCACTTCTGATAACAACCCTTAAAAGGAACGAGCCGTAAAAAGGAATCTGTGACGATCTATTTCGAAGATCTACATCGAACAATTGTTGAACACTGCAACCAGGTTATTCGTCATAACTTAATCTTGGCGATTAAATTCGGGCGCAATTAAATTGAGTCGAGGACCTTCAAGGAATATACAGAACGGACAAGGAATAGGAAGCGTGAGTGTAAACGAAGAAAGACTGGTAAAGGTGAAGTGGGGTCCGAGGATAGAGAGCACAAGCATCACGTGGAGTGTGAGCACGATAGCACCGCGGGTCGTTCTCAAGGGGACGGACGCCATGGCGGCTTCTTCGTCCTCATCGACCGGCGGAGAGCAGCAATACTCTCTTAGATGGAACGACTTTCAATCGAGCATTCTCAGTTCCGTACGTCAGCTGAGAGATGTGGAAGATTTTGTCGACGTCACGCTCGCCTGCGACAGCTGCAGCTTTACCGCACACAAGATCGTTCTTTCGGCGTGCAGTCCGTACTTCCGAAACTTGCTCAAGGTCAGTGCATTTTTATCTTTTTCTTAAAATCTTTTAGCTGCGAATTCAAAGCTACAGCCGTCAAACGGTTGATGAAAAAAGAACCATTAAATTATATTTAGCGAGTTTTTTTAGTTGAAATTAAAGTTACCTACATTTAATGGTTAAATTTACCTTAACATTTCTAATTTGTCATTTATGAACACAGCTATTAATATTCTTTTAGTGTGTAATACTCGAGAAAGAGAGAACATAACTAGTGCATATATTTTTTTAAATAAATTTTTTATAAATCTCATTAAATATAACAATGGAAATATAATAATGGAAAAAATGAGAGAAGAAAGAAAAAACTTGATATAATTTTATTTTTTGTTGATATTTTTTTTTTTTTAGTGAAAATATGACTGAAATACAAGTCAATCACAATAGAGAATTATAAGAATATTATTTTAGCTTAGCTAAGGTCTAATTTTTTAATTTTACCACAAATTTTGTTAAACCTGCTGGATTTCGCAGCGATGCATTATTAAATCACAGAGTCAAGGAATGTAATTTAGCGGTCACTGCATGTGCGAGCGATGTGTAACTCGATCGTAATGTAGGAAAGTCGAGTCAGGGTCGCGTATGACATAATATGTGTGGAAACGCTAACAGTGCGATGTGGTGTAACGAAATCATAACTGATAATCGTGAAATGAACTACTTAAGCTTCCTCTTTATTCATGGAAACTGATATCTTTTTCAAAAGTATCTACGCTATAACTTATTCCATGAAACTCAAATTTAACAAATTTTGACGAATGAGCATATCTCCAGTATGAGATATGTAGTAATCAAATAATCTGCTGATCTTATATCGTTAATAGATATAGTCAGTGACGCTAGTATTTTTATTTATTCGTTGTAACTTTTTATAAGATTTCTTATAAATAATTTTGTTCAATTCTATTTAAAATCTATTAATATTTAACTTGCTAAATTATATCATAGTGTTATAATTTTCTTTAAATAATATCTATTAAATACAGGTGTCAAGTTAAAATGTGACACGGTATTTATTGATGACTACAAATGCGTCATACAGAGTAGAATTTGGAATCGTATATCATTAATTTTAGCCACTCCAGTAATAATTTCTACCTCCAGATCGACCGCTAATCTTAGATCGTTAATGGATGTAGTCAGTGACGCTGGTGTGTGTTTTATTCGGCGTTTTAACTTTCTAAAATAAGATTTCTTATGAATAAAACAGAATTTATACAGATATATCGCAACTTTATGAGAAATTAATATTAAAAATAATAAGTGACTCTCTCACACACACACACACACACACACACACACACACACACACACACACACACACACACACATCACACACACACACACACACACACACACACACACACACACACACACACACACACACACACACAAAATTTAAAATTGAAGAAATTATGTTCTTAATATTGAATATCTTTTAGCGTTATATTTTAATGTTGTTTCTGTCTTCCAAACGTTTTGCAAATTTTATCTATCCTTATTTAAACGTATTTAGTATGAAGAAGCTATTCTTTTTTTTTTTAGAGAACGGTGAAAGTATATAATACAAAACTCACACGGATTATTATGCGTGCCTTAGTCTTCTTTCAATTTGTAGTTGAGATCAAGATGTTCCTTTAATAATGCTATGCCAACCGCCGTCATTTTTTCTACGACCGGTTAGCAGCTCCGCATACTTTATATGAACAAACCATGGGGAACGATTTTTCGGTATTATGATTTTACGAGGGTCGGAGGAGTTTTATGCTCGGGTAGGTGGGTTAGATGCAAATTGTCAAGAGGGAATAAAAGAAAATCTGAAGGAAGAAAGTAGGCATTCCTCGGCGTGGAAGGGTAGATAGGAGGTAGATACCACACGCCGCGAAGAATTCGTAAGTCGCGGTTTCCTATCTATCTTGATATCTTGGTTGAAAAAAAATAAGATAACACACAGAGCAGTGAATTTGTAACGTTTCTCATCGTGTTATATTGTAATACATTGCCGGAAACCATAAATTTAACATAATAATTTTATAGTTGTTATTAATATATTTAGCAATTATTACAAATAATAAATTTTGTATTTATATCACAATATTGCCAGACGTTTATAAACACAAATTAATCTATTAAAACATTTAAAATTGAAGCTTTAATGTTAACAATGCTGTAACAAGAAAATTTAAAAGCCAAATATAGTTTCTATATAAATTTCTTCTGTGTGTATATAGATTTATCATAAAATATAGATGTGCATATGTGTGTTGACCACGAAAAAGTGACGTTTCTGCGGCTATTCTTTTAAAAATCAATACATTTTCCTCACGCTTCAATTAATATTTCTCGAGTTTGCAATATGTATCTTGCGTGATGCTTTCTGCAAAAATAAAATATTCTACAAAATTGTTACCATTAAAAAAGGTCAATTTTGTATTTCTAATCACTCTGTTTTTTTATTTGTGTTATACCTAGATGAAGTAGTTCACATCCTCATTCCTGATATATATAGACATAAAGCGCATAAGTGGGTGAAAGTAACTCTTAGAGTCTTATTTCGCGCATTACCGCAATCGTGAAATTATAATAACTCTCTGGTAGTAATTATATACTCTAATTGATTCTCGAACAGACACGCAGCAATCAGACCGGTTATTGCCTCATAAATCCCGGATGTTACAAATCATCGTAAAATCATCAAGAGCAATTGCAAACTGCCGTCCTCTCAGAGAGAATTGGATTTCGAAAAAATATATAAATAATTGCAATGCGGTATTGAATTATGAAAGAAACAATAATTAATATTTATGCAATGCTAATTATTAGATTTTCCTTGACAAACCGTGACATCAAAAGGACAAAAATGAAAATAATATCACGCTGGGAAATAACGCAATTATCACAATTAAATATAATTGTTGAGATAAAACAGTATTATGTGATATATAATTTGATAACTTCATGTCTCTCTGTGTCACAGAATTTTACATTATAAATGTCTATAAATAAATATTTAAATTTCTCAAAAAATTGCCCCTACATCAGAACATTTCGCTAAAATCTGTTGTGGCGCATTCTATCGATTCGAAATCTTATCAAAGCGATCCATCCTACAGAATTGTTGAGGGAAGACGGTATCCTTGTGTGATGAAGCCCACAAAAGACTTCCGGTTTGATTTGCATAATAACATGGTGTTCGAGTCATCGCTAACGGAGATCCTCCCCTTTCACGCAAGACACAATCGATCACTTCGACATATCGTCGCGATGTCGTCAACAGTCAGTGGTATCTCTCCGAGAACCTGTTTCCTTCGCATGTATTTGCTTTTTTTGATCAGTCTTCATCGCCGCTTTGAGGCAACGTTCTATTGATCGTGCTCCCATATAGACTTTCTTTTGATCGGTCTAAAGTTGACACGAGACGGAAGTTTAACAAAAAGTTCAGTATAATGTCTTATTTTATTATTGCTAGTAATACCTAGTTAAGAGTTAATCATGAGTTGTGGAACTGGGCCCTAGTAATCCAAAAACAAATTACGGATCTCCGATTTTATTTCTGGAATAAATCTGAGAATTTTCAGATAACAAAGTTTAAGACAATTTGCTGGTGTGCGACGGTTTTATGTATCATTTAATGTATCAATAATTTATTAAAGATAAAATTATCGAACAATCGGTCAGTCGAGGAATCTGTATAATAGAACACATTCCGAGGAATCTGTATAATAGAAAATACTAATATTATTGCTTCTTATAAAATACTAATAACATTATTGCCTCTTCTAAAATTTCGTCATCCTCGAGAATTATTCTGCGTCGAAACGACTGGTTGTTGTCCAAAGAATGACTCGGACGTAGAATGAAGCGGCCGACTTTCTAATTGACGCGTACCACTAATTGATTTTAAGTGTCGGGCAGTACTCGAGGCGAGTTAATAAAGCTTACACGTTGGCCAAGCTGTGCTTACGTCACGCTAGCTACGTGGACACACGACGCAATGGCGCAGGATTTTATGCCATATCGCTTGAACCTCCGAACACAATTACATTAAGGCCAACCGGCTACGTTGTAACTTGTAATGACGGGTGAAGGGGGGGGGAGGGAAGGCCAGAGAAAGAGAGAATGAGAGAGAAAGAGAAGAGAGATCATTGGTATTAACTTCGTCTCACGACAAAGCGACAACAAGAGTTACCATTATGCCGGCATTAAATAGCATACGCTCTACCGTATTACCCGCTTTTTGTTTGCCCACTTGCGCGATGACGTAGGATTCCGTATTGGTTTCGACGATCGCCTACTTATTGTTAGCGTATAAACAGCGCCGTGTATAATGCTTATGGCTGATATGACCTCGAATACAGGCGTAATCAACGCCAGCAGCTATAAAGAAGCGCTCTTGCGTGTATATGAGAAATTTGGGTGTGGAATGTCGTGACTAACGATAAAAATAAAAATATGTGATGTGTTTCTCTCTCCGCGGCGTAGAGAATCGTACTGAATCTTCTCGGTAAAAAAAAATCACGACAACAAACTATTGCGTCGCAACAACGGAACGGGCGTTATCCCGGGGCTATTTTTCGGGGAATATTTACCGCTGCGCCGGACAGTTTATTATATTATTTTCATTTTATTTCCCGTATTAATTATCGTGTTGCGTTAAAATTAGTTTGCCATTTGCTCGGCAAATAACGCGGACCGATAAGCTTTCGCGCTCGCTCGCGATCACACTCGCGACGCGTGTCCTTCCGAAAATATTTTCCGGATTTGATTTAGCGCAATGCACGTGCGATGCGTAATGATAACGAAACCGTCCGTAAGCTCTGATAGAGGCGCACCTGAACGACGGATGATTTATGTATCGATGCATCGTCGCGTCGATTTACGGCAAACTCGTTCATTTGACTATCGGCCAGAAGTCCATGACGAATCGCCCGGTTATCGAACCGAACCCGCAATGATATTTGCCAAAATACGAATAG